GAATTTTATCACAAGCTGGTGGCAGACAGTCTCAAGACTGGACGCACAAAACTCACGCTATCCCGACCATAATATTTTTTATTTGTAAACCTATTTCTATCAAAATTGCATCTTGTATTTTCTTATCACACAGAGGACGGGCAACTGTCAGTTTTATCTGTATGTGTAACACACCCTTTAGACCGAGCACTGTCATGATTGTCGCTCTTGGCTCTCTAGAAAACACAGGGTGATTTTTTAAAAATCCAACTAAACAACCTTTTTTTTGGTAGATATTTTCCTCCACACCGAAGTTTTGTGTTTCAAATTTGTACACAATATTTTGGAGTGAAACGGCATTTGTCTGATATTCATTTTAAATAAAGCCACAAAATACGGTAGTTTTTCTTTACATAGCTCGTAAACAAATAACCCTTTTTCAGCTATGTCCCCATTCTTGTAGCATGACGCACTAGTTCGCACGCATTAAGCCTGCCACTAAAAGTCACAACGATTGGGCCGTATTGCAAGCTACAGTGGTCTAACAGGCCAGCAGAAGTTTGAGTGTGTTTTTTCCTAGTTTCCTTTGCCTCCTGAGATCATGTTTAAGATTAGTAAACAGCAGAGAACTTTTTGTATTGAACATTTCCTCACCAGCAACTCATTTCGTAAATTCGCATAATGTGCGGAAGTAATGTTAAAGTGCCCTTAAGGCCTTCTTTGATGTCAAGGGTAGAAATGGTCCATCTGTTAGGACCTGTACAGAATCAAAACTAAAAATTCCCAGACAAAATGACCACTTCAGGTCAAAGACACACTGTTCGCACCCCTTTAAACGTCACCAGGGTGCATTCAGTAGATGAGCCTCATGAGACATCTATCCGTTGACAATGCAGCTAGGACTTTCCAACATCTCAACGGTTCGCATTCTCAAGTTAGTTCTTCATCTAAAACTGCACCATTTTCCTGTTCGCGAAGCTATCAGAGGATGGCAATGTGTTCATGATTCCTCGACCGCATTGAAAAGCGTGAACACTTCCTCTTTGACATTAATTTTGGTTCTTTGGCAAAACCCATATTCACCTTTCAGGATGAGTTAACTCCACAAATGCTGTCTATCTGGGAAACCTCATCCCCCCCCCTCTATTGTCTCTAAAACAACTCCAATACTGTACAGTTAGGTGTACAGTGTGAGTGGCTTTGAGTACTCAAGGCTGAAAGGATCCTTGTGTTTGGCCACCACTGAACATTAAGAACGACGCGTTTTAATGTGTCAAGTCCAAAGAAGGGCATATTTATAGACCATTGGTTCTTGGAATTCCAGAGTTTTACAAATGAAAAATAAGAATTTAAGAGAAAAGAAATTTTTCTTAAATGCTACAAGGATGGAAAGATTTTTTTAAAAAGAAAAAGAAGGGAAAAACACACCAATCATTTCATGACTCTCCTAACCAGATCTTTAAAATTTTGCATTTATAAGTGGTTATTATACAAGCCTTTTCCGCTTTCGAAAACAAGTTTTTTTCTTCATGAATTTTATGTCAAACAAATTCCATTTGGATGAATTATATCTGTTCCAAATTACAACATTCTAGAACAAATTTTATGCGAGATATTCAGAAATAAAGTTGTTTAGCTTTTTTTTGGATCACCCTGTATTTCGCTGCACTGGTGCCTACCACGGACGCGCGAATGAAGCGAAACACCAGTCTCGCTATAGGCGAGTGTTCCTTTCTTGTCCTTTGTTGTGTTCTAAATAGAGACAAAACGTATGTTGCCTGGTGAACTGAAATATCGTCATAGTGTGCACAGTCAAAGATAGTACATAACAAGATGGGCCACTCAGCCAAAAAAGTGTCCGCCGGAAGTTCGCTCTTTGCTTCAGATGGCGCTGCAGTCTGTTTTGAAGCTCTCTTTCGTTTTTCCAGAAGAAGAATAGGAATAGCACCTCCTTGCGT